CAAAGTATCCGGTCCCCCATGGCACACCAGACACTTGGCTTTGTGTACGGTGGGGGGCTGGGGTAGCACTTGCATCGTCAGCAACATCTAAGTGAAACGAGTGTACCCATGCGATTTGATTCAAAATGGCTTCATGCCACACATCATAAAAGACAGCATGATCATGACCCTAAATAGCTTTCCCCACTGGCACACTGCTTGCGGCGCGAGATCATGGCTTGCGGGGCGTGTAACCACAAGGACCCAGTAAGTGTTTTTTCAGGCGTGTGCCAATGCGATTGGCCACCCAAAATGCCTCAACATCACCAACACAAACCGCGATCGAGGGAAGGTGTTTTCCATGTGTGCCAGTGCGTTCGGCCTACCCAAAAGACCTCAACTTGATCAATGAAACCATCTCAGGGGACCACGTTCAGCATGTATTTCTCTACAAAAATGACCTCAATATCACGCAGCAATTGTCTCTTGAAAACATGCTAAACCAAACGCCACTGGCACACGGAGTTGCAACGACCCTACCGGATGCGCTTCGTGTGCGTATTACACGAAAAACATGCTGCCAAAACCAAACGCAACGACTTTCACAGGTGAGAGTAGCTGCCATGTTCTCGGCTCATTGCATCTTTTGAAATCAGCCTTTCGAGCGATAGGGTGGCTGTTGGAGCTCCACGTGTAGCTGGCTTGCCCCCCAAAACAAAAGGCTCAGTTTCATCACCCAGCCCTTCTGATCGAGGCTCTACTGGAACGGGTTCTGAGAGCCCTAAACAACAGAGGAGAGGGGTTAGAGCAATCAGGGCCCCAACCACCTTGGTTTGTCACTTGTCGCGAGACAGGACATGGAAAGTCCAAAACGGTGAATCGGTTGTCTCTGCGTGTTTCATCCAGAAAAAGAGGGATGATGAGAAATGCATTTTACAGCGGAACGTGACGTCACAAATGGAAATCCAAGTGGGCCGGCATGTCTGGAAGGCATTGTGCCGGCCAATCACGAAGCCATCAAGCTAGTCTGTGTCGGGGTCCCACAAAATCTAGTGCCTTTCTTCAGCTGACTTTACAGGCGCCCTTTCGAAAACAGAAAAAAGGGCACCACTGAAGGTCTGGGACAAACAGGGATTGAATCATCCATTGCGAGAAGCAAGCATGCTCACAGGGCATGTTCACGCACGCTGCCCCTGACAGAAAGACGCCATTGCAGACCAGCTCTGCATGGTGGGGAGAAATGGCCTCGTGCGTGCTTGTGATGCCAATTTACGCCATCCCCACAACGAGTTGCGTATAATTCTGCAGCGGATTCTCGCGGTAGAGCACAATGGCCCACGAGCTCCGCTACACCCACCAGCTATGCCCCCGCTAGTTCCGGGGAGACTGATCCGTTTCAGACCTGCCATGAACAAGCTGCCCGGGGAATCGGAATGCTTTCAGTTCACCTGCAATGGCTGTTTCAACCTTGCTGTCAGCCTTTTCAAGCACAGGGATTCCCTCGGTCCACTTTGGCGGTAAGTTTGTTGCATGTGCCTCCCTCGCCCACCCTCTCCTTGGCTGACGTTGGAAGGGGAGCAAAGATCAAAATTTCAGCAGTTGAGTTGGGATTTCCCACTAAACCACAATAAGCAAAAATGAAGAAAACAAAAAACCAACAACCATGTCTCCTGCGTGAGCTCCACCAGCCGCCGCTTTTCATTTTGCATCCCATGGCGCAGAAGGCCCGCGCAAGGCGACGCGCGAAGAGGGCGTCAAGCCGGAGCTGGAACTCCCAGCTGCAACCACTGACCCGAAACGTTAAAGCGGACCCGTTTTGGTGGGCTGGTTCCAGCAAAACTTAACGGACAAAGAAAGAAATGGCTTCTGAGTCCCAATGCTTTGGCTCCATATTGCGCTTTGTCTTGACACATGCTGGCGAAAGTCCATGGCTCCTTTTCATTGTCATGCCGACTTGGTCAACTAAGCTCCTGGCCGAACAACAAAAACGCGGTTTCACTCCTCTCGAAGCAAGTGGCTAGCTGAAACTTTTGCTCCATCCGCCTGAACCTTGAGCCGCTGCCTGCGCCAGAACTGCCTCGACTTCTGGATGGCAACCCTGGGTCCATTAAAGCGTGGTGGTTTGAAGGGAAACCACCCAAAAGTTTGCCTGTGGACTGCTGACTGGAGGAAACAAGTGCTCCATCAAAGTGTAGACACTCGCCAAAGGCAGGACCATTTAGAGAACCTCTCAAAACCGTCACTTCAAGGGACAAAAGTCCATCTGCGCGTGATGGAACGCCAGTTCTCCCGAAACTGGGAATCAGATGTGAGGACGACCGCCCTTAATCAAAAGGCCTGCCGTGAGCCCGGCGTTTCAAACAAATAAAATATCCTTGCCCACGTTTCGGACAGCAACCCACAGGAACCCCTTTTGTGCGATCTGCAGAGGTGGGACGCCACAAGGGAAACAAACACTTTTGTGGGCCCCCTAGTAAAAGAGACACGGTTCCATAGAGATCCCAGAAGCCCCGGATTCCGCCTCCACAGCGGCGGTGATCAAGGCATCCTGCAACCGCTCGAGGAGCACCTCGGGCTTGAGGTGAGGGCAAACAAAACTCGTTTGGTGGCCGGACCCCTTTAATCTGAATTCAAACCTGGGCCGGATGTTTTGTAGAACTTTTCGGGTAGAATTGGGTCCATAAGAGCGGCATCCTCAAATTATCCCCCCCCCCAAGGACAAAAAGAGCACACACATCTGACAAGGGAGACCACCACGACCCACCCCATCCGAAATGATTCCAGTAGTGTTCGATTCCCTTTTCAACCAACAGGGGAAAATAAAAATGTATTCTTAAGCAAATGGAGGAACCCCCCTCACCAGCAAAACCGCGCCTCGAAGTTGGCGGCGCCTTTGCCGGCAAAGTCCACCACGGTGGCGCGGGCGCCGGCCGCCAAAGTACGTACCTCGCGGTCACTGACCACAGGACCCGCTGGCTGACATACGCTAACATCTGCGTATGGCACCGTATGGCAACATTTCCATAGATACTATCATAAAAGTCGCTTCTTTGGGCGGTGAATGGAGGGTTCATCCATCCACAAGGGAAGGAACAACAACCGAGCGAAGCAAACATGCCAGGGGAGGGCTTCCCAAGTGCAACCCGGTGCGCAAACCCCGACTAAGGGGCCAAAGGGGAACCTGGTCATCGCTTGCAATTGGACCAATTCGTATTTCCTAGTTTTTGGCTGAGCGAGCCGATCAGCCCAGCTTGTGTTTTCTTGAAGTCTTTTGCAGGATCCAATTAGCGATTCTTCCCAGGGGGGTGGTTCGTTGGAGAAGTGGAACACCCCGTGGCAACCACGGAATCCATCCGGCAGAATCAACTTGTAACTCCAACGAGGTCCGGAAGGGTCTCCGGAAACACCTGGCAAAAGTAGAATGGGATGATGCTGAATGTCTAGAGTCCAGAGATTCACCCGAAGCTTGTTGCTTAGAACCAAGCAAGCTCACCAGTTTGAGTTCCCTGGACAGCTTTGAACCCTAGGTTGCTGCGATTCTGGCTTGATCATGGGACACGGCCATTAGTGGGGCCCAATATGACCATGGGCCCATGAGTTCCCATACTCTTGGCCAAACTCTGTGCTAATTTCACCAAAAAGAACATGTTCACAGTATGTCTCATGCGCAATCAAGCTCAAAATCTATCAGAACTTTGGAGACCCCAGTGATGGGAGTTTTTGCAAAATGGCGGACCCGCTTTTGATTTGCGAACGGGATTCCGAAAAGAAACCAGGGCATTTTCTGGCTGATGCACGGCAAAGGGAATGACCCCAATAAACATTTGGTTGTGGTTTCGATTGAGGGAATCCTGGCTTCATTTCCACACTCCCTACCTATCGCACCAGCAAGCCTGTTTCTCAGTTGTTCAGTGACCCTGGAGGAAACAAAGGAACCCTTTTTGGCGAAGGCCATTTTTAGTGGGGCAGCCACTCCAAAAACAAAATTGGGGGGGAACAGGGTGCCACTGAACAACTGAGGTTTTGAGATACACGCTGGCTCAGGTCCACGGTTCCGCCCGAGCCTCCTCAGCGGTGCTCCGGGCGTGAGGGCCCGGAGCACCCGGCTCTGGCACCAGCAGCCACAAGCCTGCGGCGACTCCGCGGCCAAAAACATGAGGCCCCAAATGCGCAGTGGGCATCTGCGTGTTTTTTGGCGAGAAATCAACTTGGGGGAGGGGGGGTGGTCATTTTTTGACACATGCCCAAATATGTAGTTAAGTTGTGATAAGTTTGTAGGGCTGGACGCCACATGAAAGCCACCCATCTTGCCTGCCGGGCGTTCCAGAGGTTCAAACGGAACATGTCATCCGTTCAGCACTTGGATTGGAAAACGCCCGGAAAACAACCTTGACACACAAACAGATCGCGCAAGCGCGTCTGCCTGCCTTCGGTGATCAAGAAGTGAGGTGTGTGAGCGTGGCATGCCCAAGCTAAAGTGACACACATGCTCAAGACATGCAACATGAGCAACTCACTGAATATGTTTGAATTCTGCGATGCTTCCACCTTCGAGGGAACTGCCACCCCAAGTGGCTCGCTCGCATTTGGAAAGACCTGGTCGCAACTTTGTTGAGGCTCCTTCGGCCGCCACGTCGGCAAGTCAAGCGAGGCATGTTGCCATCCGCCTCCCCCCAAGGCAGCCGCAAGGGGAGAATTCGATGTCCCGGGCTGCGAGAAATCCGGAACCACGAGCCTGACCTTGCTGGGCCTCCCCGCTCTTGCGCGGGCCGTCTGCTCGCAGGTGCGCAAGCTCCGCCGCCAGGCCGGTGATGCCTACGGGCGGGGAGGGGGGGGGGGGAAGAAGGGGATGAGGCGCGCTGTACCCAGAAAGCAGTGGAAAAACCGAACCCGTTTGAAATATTATTTTCGCATTTCCCCAGTCAAGAAACGCTAGAGTGGCGGGGCACTTTGCGCTGCACTTTGGAAAGCGAAGTATCTTGCATGGTTCTGGCTAGCTTGCCGGCTGCCGAATGACCATGCCCTTCTCTTGTTGATCATTCTAGCGGGGAAGCCACCTAACAAAGAAGCGGAAAACAGGGTGTCTGTCAGTTCATCTGGCATGTTGACTTTTTTGGGGGGCTACTCTAAGACACAGCCGCGATCCTCTATAAGAGGGCAGGGACTTGCGTCCAGTCCTCCGGGCACCCGAAACCCTAAAAGCGCTTTGCCTGCTTATAGGGCTGAAAACCACCCGGCAGATGTGTAGAAACTTGGCTGGCAAAAGCGAAACCAAGGAAACCATTCACCAATGTTCTACCTTTGTGGCTTGACATCTTTTGGAGCTGCGTTCTTTTTTTGTTGAGGCTACCCTGTTTGGGAGTGTTTTAAAGGGAAACCAAAGGGAAACTGCCCATGTTGGAGTGTGGTCCCCCAATTTTGAGAGACCCATCTTGCAGGAACGGCGCCGGAGCGAGCCTCGCTTCGCGTGCTTCGCGAAAGCGAGCCGATGGGCGACCGATCGCCTGGCGTGGAATGGGCGCGCCCACGACATGCGTTGGCATTGCGATGCCGGCTGGCCGTTTTCGGCATGCTGGCCTCTTCACTCGAAAGATTGGCTTTAACTCACGCTGCCAACCGAAGAAAGCAAAGCTGCACAGCAACATGTGCCAAACCAAAGGCCAACAACGGGCCGGGCAATACAACTCTGACCCGCAAAGCATGTCGACGACATCTGCTGCCTCTCATGCCATTCTAGCTTCAGTGCGTGAAAACAGATTGCACTGGTTGCAGTTTGGTTCTAATCACCCTCCTGTCTACTAACATGGAACTCACCAAAATGCCCAGGCTGATTCAATTTTTCTGTGGGTTGGGGGATATATGCTAGTCTGTGGATCCAAAACACCATCTAGGTTTCATGCCGGCCTCCAGGCATGCGCGGTATGCGCGCCGGTCACTCTGGCGATCATGGCGGCAGCGTGGCGAGGCGTACCAAAGCGACGTGCTCCCTGCCCATGACGATTCAAATTGGACAATCTCCCTGAGTGGATTGACCAAGAAAGTCCAAACTTACTCAGATGGTCTTCCAATAAGCTTTAAAGTCCAGAAACTCAGGGAGCGAGTGGAGCAGCATCATCTTGCCTAAGATGAACGAAACCGTTTGTGTGCCAGACGTGTGGGTTGGGCTTGTAAGTGTCTGTTGGTATGTTTTGGTCACAGGCTCTGCAAGCTGCCCCGCGAATGCGGCTTGCCGCATCTGGCCAGCTGGCTTTATCAGTGCACTCATGGCTACGGAAGGCAACACCCTGTGGCGAAGCCTAAGCAGAATCACCTCGACCGGCGGCCGCTCATCATGCAACCCTTCAGGCCCATTTTGCCAGGGCCTCTTGGTGGGAAACCCGACTACTCGTATCAATTGAGGGTCTATTGTAGCAATTCCCCCAAGGGGTTCAAGCTAGTACAGTTTGCTATGCCCCTAGCGGGTTGTTAGCCCTCTTTCTTCCTCAGCCATTGCGAGCTGTAGACGGAAGAGGGACGGTCGAGAATCTCATCTCGTGTCTTACGAGAATCTGCCCAGCATCGACGTCAGCAGCGGCTTCGGCAGCGACAAACATCAAAGAGGCCATTCTATTTCCCCTCATGCCCTCCTGACAGCCAGCAAAGTTTCTGAAAAGCGGCAAGTTTATGAATCGGTCAATGTGGGGAACAATAACCGAAAACCGGGAAATACAGAAAAGCAGAACACCAAAAGAAACAAAACACGGAAAACAGGAAACGCAAGAACACCAGAAAGCCAGAAACCAAGAAAACCAAACGACCAGAAAACCAGAAGACCTGAACACCAAGAAACCAGAAAACCATAAAGCCAGAAAACCAAAAAAAAACACAGAAGACCAGAAGACCTGAAAACGAAGAAACGCAGAACACCAACAAAACAAAAAAACTAACAAAATTAAAAGCAGGCAAACCAGAAAGCCAGAAGACCAGAAAACCAGAAAAACCAGACACCAGACAACCAGAAAACCAAGAGCACCAAAAAACCAAGAGAACCAAAAAGCCAGAAGAGCAAGAGAACCACGAAACCCAGACAACCAGAAAACAAGTGGACATCGCGTGTCGAAATAAATGTATCCTTGTCCTTTTGCACCCCCCTCTTTTCACAGTTCTTCTCTTCCTTTGTCGCCTTGACCCTTCTCTCTATGATGTTCAAGAGATACTTATGGGACTTGGCCGGGTTGCCTTGTTCCAGGTCTAATCAAAATTGTAGAGGGTGTCCCTCAACTCTCCTTCAGGAGGTACCGACTCTGGCCTGATTCCAGCCATGATGTCGAGCCATCTCTGCTTGAAGTCACCCATCTTCTTGTCACCCGGGCAAGTCACTCGATAATTGACGAGGGCGCGGCAGAATCACCTCAAATGGCGACAGCTCATCATTCAATCCTCAGGCCCATTTTCCCAGTGGCTTCTTGTGAGAAACCCGACTACTCGTATCAATTGAAGGTCTATTGCGGCAATTCCCCCTGCACTCAAGCATTAAAGAAGCCCCTGTTTGTATCATCCTCCGAAAGGTGTTGACTCTATCCTGGGTGTTCAATAGGGGGTCTAGAAAATCACTTATCAAATCTATATGCATCCGCTGTTGCTTCTTTGGGGGCAGAAAGCATGGGCCACGTGGCCGCAGGCACGGATGGCTCCCACCCCTGCGACCGCATCTTTTTCCAAACCGCTGGAGCTCAGCCATCTCGGCTCGGCCTGCGCTGGCGCGTGCCCGGCGTTTTGTTCGTAAGTCCCCAGTCAAATTTTCTGGACAGATCCCACTTGGGGGACTTGGGATCAATCCATCCCAGCTCTGGGGGGCCTTGCTAACTGATATTTTGTAGCTTGGTTGCTGTTGACCCCTCTGCAAAAAGTGAACCACTTTTTGGGGGTTTAGTGGAAAACACCTTTATTTTCCAAAAAGTTAAAGTCTAAAGATCCAACCCAATAGCAGTCAAGGTGGGTCCTTAGTTGTTGATATGTTGTTTGTTCACCACACGTGGGTTGCTCCGAGCTCCTCCCACCCCAACCCCCCACAAGCGCCTCACTTGGGCAATTCCACCGGCCATGGCAGCTGCTCTGAAGGCGGTTGCAGCTTGGTCACGGCATGATCCTGCGGCGACTGGTAGACCACCTCAGAGAAGTTCGCTCGATTGCCTTCGTTTTGTTTTACCCATCCACCCGAAGGACCTGGAAATGAAAGCTGAGCCAATCTAACACCGTGACCAGACATGGGGCAGCAATGACACAAAATATGTTTTTGTTCCGTCCAGCGTTTAGCAAACGGATGCATTGGGGTGAAATCCATCGGCTGAAAGCAAACCCAATTTGGGATCACCCGACTCAGTGGCTTGCCGTCGAACCGCCCCTGGCACTTTGCCTAAGTCCGGGGCCATTGGGAAGTACTTCGGTGCCAGTCCTCGGCACTGCGGGCGCAAGGATCGGTCCACCCCGTAGGATTTCCCCAGTTACAAAAGTGGGTATATAGAAATAGGGGAGCCATGGAAACCCTCCACAAAAGGCGTTCTTTGCTGTTTTTTTTGTTTTTGTTTTTTTGTCTTTTCTTTTGGGTAGCCACCCCCAACAAAGGTCACCCCTCCAAAAAGACAAGCTCATGGGGAGGGACCCCCTTGGATTCATGCAGAGGAAAGGCCGAGCGTCGAGTCCAAGCACTGATTGCTCGAAAGCATAGCGACAAGCAAGCATGCTTGCGGGTGTCTAGGAATGGCGAGAGCGATCGAAAAAGGCTTTCTTGCACGGATTGCGTACCCCCGAATGCAACTCAAACATCCCGCCCCGGCCCGAGCATGACGACGGAGCAAGCGATGCCCAGCCAATCAGGTTGTTAAAATGGCGACCCTATTGGAGAGTCCTAAAAGGTGCGTGCGAGAATTCCCCTTGCTTGGCCTCTAAGCTACAACCGGCTTCTCTCATCTGCACACTCACTGCGCATGCTATTCATGAACTGGTCGCCGATACCGCATTTGTTCAGGTTTCGTAGGCATGCTGACCTTGAATCCAGCCAGAAGCTTGGCACAAGTACCAACCAGCTGAAAGGCTGCAAACTGCCAACTCAACATGGAGGCTGCGCCATTTTTCATAACCTGCCCTGATGAATCATCACCTTTTAGAGCCCCTGAACCTCCCTTCCCAAGCAGCCAAGGCTCCGTAAGCCGTGGTCGTGGTCATCATGCCGGCCACCTGCCAGCAGGTACGCAATGGGAACCCCGAAAGAAGCAGAACCCCTAGTTTGCTTTGATCGGTGGGAATTCATCACTTTTTGGGGGAACAACCCCCCCACCCCAAAAAAAAAACTTCTTTATCCGGTGTGAACACGAAGTGGACCCTAACAACACGCCGGCCACTTTACGTCATCTGTCAAGAACCGTTTGGGCGGCTCCCGTCTTGAACTGCATACCTGGCCTTTGAATCGTTAGAATGGAGTTGGGGAACATTTAGAACTAAGTCAAATGAGTGGAAATCAATGCTTGTGATTCTTCAGCCCCCCAACACCCCAAACCCCCAACTTTCCAACCCCCCAATCCCCCAACGCCCCAACCTTCCAACCCAACCCCGCTAACCCGGAACCCGCCATACGCACATTCTTCTCCCACCCCCACAACCCACCCGGTAAAGGCGGAACGACCGCCTGTGCGCGTGTGGCCAGCGCCGTCTCGCCCTCTGCCGGAGGCAGTGGCGGAGACACCGGGGCTGACACCATCTCCTGGCGCGTGCTTCCGGAATCCCAGAGAAAGGACAGACAGAAAAAATCACCTGTCTTGCTTTAGAGGACCCCCATATTTGTGGTTTTCCTTTCCGTGTTCCTGAAAAACAGGTGCCCTCCAAGCTCCACGCACCCACCTGGTACATGCAGAAACCTTTTCAAACAGCTGGTGAAGGAGTTTGTTGTAGGGCCAAAGTGTATTTTAGGAACCCCTGAGTTTGCAAAAACAGGAATCCATCCCCGCGATGAACTCCTTTTCAGACATTCATTTTTGCTCAGCCTTTAGAAACGGTTCGAAGGAACCCTGACAATCTAAGGTGTTTTCCGCTACCGGGAACCACTACCCCCAGGTGGATGTTTTTTTTGCATACCTGTATGTAGTGGCCATACAGTGGCAGTGCATCCCATCAACCAGAAGTAGTGGCTTGGGAGTAGTCCAAACCTTGGCCCACATCTGGGGCACACAGAACATCATGTGTTCAGATTCCGTCTATATGTCCGTGCACCTAAAAAACATAAAATAGGCGCGTATATTTTGAGGGGCCCGCCAAAAACATGAAAAATCAATCAACCAAAATGGAGGGTTTCCGCGATGGATTCCCTTTAAAACCACAAAAAAAGAGGGGTAACTCAGTTGTCAGAGAAAAACTGGAACCCTTTTTGGGGGCAGATCGTTTTTAGTGGGGCAGCCACCCCCCCCCCCCCCCCCCAAAAAAAAAAAAAAGAAGGAAAAAGGGTGCCACGGAACGACTAAGGTAACCCTCAAAAAATGACACACCCAAATAGCTTGAAAAACACCATGGAGTGAGCAAACCACCGTTTTCCTGACTTCCCCTATGCTCCTCCTCCCCGGCGGTGACGCGGCTGAGGCCTGACTTGTGACTCAAGCCCAGCGAGCCCCCGGCGTGGAACGACAAGGGGAGAGAAGGGCACTGGGAGTGGGAGACCTAGCCCAAGGAACCACAGGAAATGGTTTGATCGTTCATTCCCTCATTCTTTGCTGGGAACCAGCTAGTTTAGCAGCTAGTTGATTGAACATGAATCTCACTTCGCTGCTCCAAGGATCAAACAAAAGCACCCGGTTTTGCCAACTGGAGGATCTACCTCGTGTTGAAGTTGTAATCCCACGCTGTACCTCTGGAAAGATTCACCCCAACGATCGGCTGCAAGAATCTCCAGCCGAAACTCTTCGACTTACAATGCCGTGTTCAGGCTGCCCCGTAATGGTCCACTCGCAAAGTCGCCCCAATTTGAAACCGTGGTGCCAATGTGGCATGCGCTGGGCACACCACAAGGGTCCTTCCAGAAATGCTCTCTTGCAGTGACTCCGGTGTAGAATTATGCAACGAGAGTCCATCATCTCCAGTACCGAGGGACAAACAATGAAACCTCCCTGGATGTGTTAACAGAACGCTGCAATTTCTCGATTTTGGCTAGAAGGATGAGAAGGAACACAAATGACAAAGTGTGTCTTTTTTAGGGGACCCCCACAATTAATCTATTGGTGGTTGTCCTTTTGGTTTCCTTTTCAAGCCACACAAACAGGGGAACCCTCAAAAACAGACACCCCCAAAAACACAAAACGATAAACACCATACAAGTTCAAGTCCCCACCGGCCCCCACCCCGCAGCTCCTCCCTTCCCCGCCTGGATTGCTGCTGGAAGGCGCCAGCGCCAGGTGGGCGTCCGGTCGTGGAGCCTGGCGTTTGGAAGGCGGCGGTCGAATTGGTTCCCGAATGAATCACAGCTCTCCCGCCTCACACTGGCTGGCACACACAGTCACCGTGGAGTTGTCCTCAGGACCTGGCAAAGAGAAGCAACGAGATTCGATTCCTCTCAAATTCGCGCAGGGTGAAAATGCCCTACGAAACTTCATGGACATGGGTCAAGCAGGGACCGTTCCCGGCTGGAAGCAATCTAAAGAGTCGGCCATCCCACCAAACTCGACCATAAACTGGAAGATTTGACCGCACCAAACATATGGCTCCATGCCACTCTCCAGGAGAGTACTTGTAAGTGTTGCTCCCTGCCGAACTCCAAGCTTGTCTCATGGCAAACTGCCATGACACTGCTCTATAGTATGCCATGTATACCGATGAACAAGTTGAAGCTGGCCAAGTGGGCCCCTACTCCTTCGCATCTCTTTCCCAGTTGGAAGCTTGCAATGACTCTTGCCGCGCACGTGCCGCCTTTGCCGCCCGCAACTGGGCAGTCGATGTTGCCCACGCCCTGGAGCTCGCAGGGGGCGCAGGAGGACTTGGTCGCGCCGTGCTGGTCCTCTGAAGCGCCGACCCCGCCCCACAGGCTCTTCGAGCGGGTGAAGGTTGCCCACCCGGTTTGGGGCAAAAAAGCTGGTCCACTGAAAGTTTGCTCCCATCGGACATCCAACGGCTGGCTTTCTGGCTTTGCCGCATTGGGGGGGAGAGGGGGGGGGGAGATGCAACACCGACTTCCAAGGCAAGGGAAATCAAGGAAGTCCGGCCATGCAAAAAGAGCCCTGCTGAGCCGCCATCCAAAGCCCAGGCCGGGACCAATTCGAGGCGCATCCACAATTTCCACTACCCAGGGCCTATGCACCCGTTGTAGTGTCACATGCCGGGGAATGGAAACCTCGAACTCAATGTCCATCCTGGTAGGTGAGGAACATGCATTTGGAGTTGGTCTGGTCGCCGCGGCCGAAGCAAGAAGTCTGGCTGTCCTCAGCTTGTTCGATCCTGGCAGCCGCCCCCATACGGAAGTGTGCTACCCCCAAATGCCCGCATCCATGGCGGCGCCAAGACCTGTTGCCCCACTTGCCGTCCTTTACAAAGCTGACAGCATGACAACCACGCACACATCAACCGAGGAGAACGGGAACCTGCCAAAGCCCTCCAAATGGCTGGTTTCACACCGGTTTGCCCCTCGCTTGTGGACCAACTGGGGTCCCTAGTTTTGAGGGAAACAAAGGCGTGCGTCTTGCCTCTCGTGAGGCAACGGCAACCGAGCAGCGACGCCGGTGAAGTCAGTGCAGGAGTACTGGGGCTGCATGACCCGCTTCTGGTGCAAACACGACATCTCGCACTCCACGACCTGCCCAAGACATGCAAACGGCAGCCTGGATTTGTAGATTCATGGCCTTCTGGCTTCAACAGGGGGACTTCACAATTATATGGCACGCAGCGGGTGGGGAGGCCCCATGACCCCCCAAGGCTTGGCCATCAAAGCCCGGTGTGCTGTGTGCTCGGAAGTGGCCACTGAACATCATCCGACATGAATCTCCCTGATGGTTTTCCAGTGCCGCTGAACCCTTGACACCAACTAGACCACAGGCACCCCTTCGCTGCCAAACCACGACGACAGCGTGCAGCCCAGCCAAGTCCGCATGGGCCAAATGTAATGCTGTTTGAGCCGGAAAGTGGGGTGCTCCTACACTCGGGTTGGCCCACACTCAGCAGCCCCAAATCTTCCCAGGTCCCTGCTGGAGAATTGAAAGCAACAGCGCGGAGTACCTCCCAACACAGGTCCGTATGGCAGAAATGTTGCAAGCCATGATCTCTCTGACATCTTCCTGCATTCCTGGTGCTAACCCAAAACAACAGGCGGCAAATATCTAGCACACTGGCAAAGTTGACCGCGAAAGGCCCCGGCGCAGGGCCATATTCACCCGTCAATCCCCTGAAAAAGGGAGAGCGTTCCCAGTTCCAAAATGTTCATCTGGTTTTGTGTGTACCGGGGTACCCTTTTGGGCGCAGCCGGGTGTCTCCCTTTAGGAACTGCATCCATCGCCTCCCAGTTGTTTGGTGGTTTTGCTGTTGGCTCCCTGAAGCAATCTGAACACCGGGTAACAGCCTCCCAAGAAAAACCATGATTTGCTCCACCCCCCCTCCCTCACCCCAACAAAACCAACAACCATCTCCCACCAAAAACCACCTACCCCCACCCCCACCCCCCATCCCCCAAAACAAACAAAACAACAGCCTCCCAACAAGAAACGTTAACCCCAACTGTTTGTTGGTGCCAACCTCCCCCCCCTTGGTTCTGCCAAGCACCTGGGAGCCTCCGAGCCAGGCCCCGGAGTTCCAGCAGGGCAGCTCCGTCTGGTCCAGCTGGCACGGCCTCACTTCCCACGACCCTTTTGATGCGAAACAAATCCATGGCGTTTCCCCGGAAAATGACGCATGAAACAGCATGACACCCAGCTAAACCAGGGGTTCACCCATCTATTTCTGACGAAACTAGCCCAAAAGGACACCTCTCTGCTTATGGAAGTTCTCGGCTGATTTGAATCACCAAATTGAAATGAAACAGAGAAGGGTTCCTCAAGCAGAACTCTGTGTCCCCATTTTCTAGATTGTAACAATGATTTCAGGCAGAGTGGCAACCTTTGAAGGAACCCACGAAACATGGCGAAACATGGAAATTATAGGGGTCATTCCATCATTCCCTTCCTATCGATGCCATTGAATTGCACGAAACAATTCCACGTCTTAGTCCCTGCCTATCAAACGAAGTACTTCGAAGTACCCAAGACATGCATCAACCATGAGGTCATGAATGTAATTGTGCAGCACATCATTTTTGGCGGCACAGTTTAAACTAGACGAACCAGCTCATGCTGCTTTTTTCGCCCCTGTCCACTCTTGCCGGCTGTGGGTTCCAATTGGGCTCAGGCCTGCAGTTGATTTTCCGCAATGGGAATGCCCATTCATTCATACGCCAAACAAAGTGACAGGCTCACCATACCATGGCGGCAGTTCAGTTTTGCTTCGACACATGGCAACCGTTCCCAGCGAATCAGGAGTGGAATGGCATGGAAGGACCCTATCCCCATGACAAGGGAAGTTTCCTGTTGTTTGTTTTAAGGTTCCAAGAACCTTTCCAGGGTGCTTTGCTCCAATATTATTTGCCATGATGTGTCCGGGACAGCTATCGAATCGCTCTACGTTTCATGCAGGCAGTCGTTGGGACAAGGAGACTAGCTGCCTCGGGACCGTTTTTGTTGCGGCCAACGTTTGTGCAAGAAATACAATGTACCACATGCTGGTGACACAGTTTGCACATCTAGGCATCTTGAACTGAAGCTTGTGTATTTGCAATACAGTCGCTTGATCATATTGTTGTTATCCCTAAGTTAGACATGCTGTCGGGGACAGCGGACAGTGTGGCCAAGCTGTTATAATGTGTACCAGCTAAGTCTTTTGCGACCTGAACTGGCAGCTTAATCTTTTGTGATCCTTCACATGTATCCGGAAGAGGCTTGCTTGAGGGCTTGCCTCTTGTGCAGTGTGATTGGCAAAGAGGATATACACAGAGGAGGGGGTATTCAGGCAGGCTTTAGAGTTCAAGTCAAAGCCCCGAAAACACAGACACACACACACAATGTTTTGTCCACTTGAGTTGTTATCAAGGGGTGTGTGTGTGTGTGTTTCGTGGGATCCTCCAAAGCGGGTGTACCCCAAAATCTTCTGAGCCCCGATGACCAAGGCACATGCAAAACGCCGTCTCCTTCGGCACCAACGGCCGGGGGTCGTGGCTGTGCAGTCGCACCCACATGCCTCACTCGGGGGCGAAACCGAACTTCATAAACAAAAATGTTTTGGTCCTACCAGACCAATTCCAACAGCATAGCCCAAGAGGGTTCCAAATAGGTCGTTCTACCCAAACATGGCTGTTCAACATGAAGCCAGGCGCATTTTTCCGGCTTCAACATGAAGGGGCAACCAAAAGGCAGCCACCTGGTGCCCACTTACTTAAACACACCTTCCAAAATCAGGCGCTCTTTTCCCCTTGGCTGGCTTCGTAACCGCCAGGAAGGGAGCGAGCGACCTGCAGGGATCTTCTGGAGCGGCGTCCGAAGCGTGCTTGCTAGGGAGCGAGGTGTTGGGAATAAACCTAGCCATTCCCTTCAAAGAAACCTTATAGGAATTCCCTCATTCCCTTCTGAGAGCCAGCAAGATCAGGGGGGCGCCTTCTCCTTCTTTGGGCTGGCGGCTTTTGCTGAAGGCCGCTGGAGAAGGGGCTCAAGAGCTGGGCCTCTCACTGCAAGGGGCCAAGTTGCGAGCTGTCCGAACACCGTCCCAGGCAAAAGCGAAAACAACCGCCCCACCCGGGCTTCTGAACTTTTTGGGATTTGATGGACATCATGTTGGGTCCTTTTCAGCAGGTTCCGTATGTAATTGTGTTGCCACTTTGCTGCGGGAGCACCTAGTGGGTGTGCCTCATTGCGCAAATACCTAGGCCGCTGCCGCCATGAGAAAACCGCCCTTGCACCCCAGTTTTTGATCAACATCAATCAGTCGAGTGGTTTGGATCTGGATTTGGAAATTCTGGGTTCTTTTGGGCAAATGGTACGCCGGAACAGCGCCAAACCACCAATCCAAACCACCCAGCGGGAAGCTGATACGAGGGACACCCCGTGCACTGGTGCACTGAAGGCTTCAAACTTCTCGACCCCGACACCTGCAGCCGAGCCGCATTGCCGATTCTCGTGGGTCAAGCACCTGGCTTCAGCTTGTGGCCCGCAACACCCCCCCCCCCAACCCCACCACCACCCCCCACCCCCGACCCCGCACACCCCCTCCTTCCCCACCCCCCCCCCCCCCCCCCCAAAAAAAGAAGTCCCCAGCTCTCCCTTCTGTTTTGTGATGCGCCTGTTCTTGCTGGCGTGCTGGCCATCGTCGCAGGCATGAGCGGAGCCCTGCTGGAAAGAAGACGCCACGCCATTCACCCGGGAGACCAGGTACTCCGCGGCCATCAGGTCCTGGCGTTTTGCGCGTGAAAAAGCAAACCGACCATCAACAAATCTATACATGGCACTGTCTTCTTTATTTGGGACCCCCAAAATGAGTCTGGAGGTCTCACCCCGGGGTTCGAAAACAATGGCTCGAAAGTACGGCTCGCACACCGTCACTGTGGCGCTGGTGGTTGCATAGTCAGCTTTCGTGCGCCAAGATTGTTTTAAGTCATGCAAAGCGAACCATCTGGCCAAACTCTGCCTAGACCCGCAGAACAACAAGCCGCTGCGCATGCACGTTCGCGTTGGCCTGCTAGAAAGAACGTGTGCTTTGATAACTCAGCTGGCAAACTAGTACCCCTGGTTGATTTGCGGAGGGTGCTCCAATTTTTCAACGAGAGCGCCCGAAGAGGCTTACTTCTGGGGCCAACAAAAGTCGTTCCTGAGGGATCCCTTTTCTGGGGCGACCCCATGTCCTTCCGAAGGTGAAGCTTGAATGCAAATCAATCGCACCCAGCACCCATTCAGGGCTAAGGGTTCGAAGAATTCTGTTACCCTGGCAGGGCGAAAAAACATGGCGCAGAAAAGGACAACAGGAATTCGCCAATCCCATTTGTCCACCCTTGGGGTTTGGTCACAGCTTCCCTCCAATTGGTGGTTTGGAGCGCAGTGGCTTGGAGGGGTTCCGGGGGTGGCTTGCCATTTACCCTCTAAGAGGGCTAGAGGTTCAAATCCAAGTCCAAGCTACCAAAAAGGAACTCAAACAACCTTTCGTAGCGGAAACTCCTTTTGGGAAATGGAGCCTGTTTGGGTTCCACGTTATTTGTATACCTAAACCAAACCATTTGGGGTTACCTGATTTAACGGGACGGGCCCCGGGCCCTCTGTCCTCCCGAGGCTCAGGCAGCTTCTCCAGCTCCGCCGGCTCCAGGAAAGGAGCCCCGTCTGCGCGTCAAAATCCCCCGGGGCGGGTTTGAAAGGACGCCAGGAACACCACTTCGACGTTTTGGCAGGGTTTTTGGAGGGGTGGGTGGTGTTTGAAAGGAACACCACTTAGAGGTGTTGGCTTTTTTGGAGGGGTGGGGTTTTCCCCATCTTAAGACAAACAAGTAGGCATGTGGGCCGCGTCTTGGTTGGTGTTGAAGGGAAATCGACAAGAAACACCATGTTTCATTTTGAAGCTTCCTCAGGTGAACTGGAAACATTGGGACCGCCTTTGCCGGTTCCTTCTTCACTTGCCTAATTAAGTGAAGAACATCTTCAAAACGGTCCCGAAAAGCTTCAGTGCCCCTGCTTGAGCGCGTGCCAGGAGGTACCCCAAAGAAACCCATCAGGTTTTAGAGCAATCCGCTCCCTTTTTGAGATAACCCCTGCGCGCCATGCGCAACAAGGCTGAATTCCGAATCCGATTCCGCGGAGCTGAGTTGGCGGCTGGCAGGCGCATAGCCGTGCCCACCGGACCTCAGCTCAGAATGCGCAAAATGACTCAGCGATATTTTGGCAAGGGCCGCTGTGAGTCCAACAGCAGTGAGCAAATCGACCTAGCATTCACATACTGACCTCAGATAGAGGGGAAGTCCTTCGGTCCAAAAGTGCCCAAGCTCCAGAAGTACAACTGAGATGCCTGTTGACCAGCATCCCTTAACAATAGACGGGCTGCCCTGAAAGGAACTGAACATCGGCTGAAAAGCCAAACCTGGTGAAGGCCCGGTTTCATCAAGCTGACCATTTCTTTTCAGGCGTTGAAAGAATGAGTGCGACTGGATGGTGTCTGATTTTCAAGGCGCTTCTCTTTTTTCCTGAGGCAACTGGGGAGTTGTGGTGTGTGTGTGTGTGTGTGTCGGACGTGCCGCAAGCCGCGCTGGTAAAGCTGTTGGGGTCAGTTCTTGCTGTCCCCTCTGGACATGCAACATGAACCTCATGGCAGGGTTGCTTGATCATCTCAAATCAAAACAAGAATTTGATTGGACCTTGGAATCTTCAATGGGCACATCAGCTGGACCCTTGCAAAATGCAGTGAGCTTCCCCCTTGGTCCCCTCGTAACACTTGGGAATGGCCCAGACAGGAAACGGGATTCACGTTTAGCAGCTCCAGCCCACCGCAACGCATCGGTTCACAGCAACCCAGACATCCAGCGTTCAAAGGGAAACCCCTCCGGCCGAGCTTCTGCTGCAGGACAATACCTTGGGCAAAGCCCAAGCTTGCCAACGTCCACCTCGGCTCACTCCGCTGATCAGCCCAGCTTGCGGTGCCCCTGATCCCCCCTGCTAGGCTATCATTTTCTGGGCCCAATTCACAAACCTCCGGCAGACTCATGGAAAAGGGCCGCGAAATACGCCCTAAGCCCGCCGGAACTGCTGGAGCTTTGGGCTTCGTGAGGATCCAGCTGGACTTAGGGGTCAAACAGGCCTGGTGCCCGGCTTTGAACAACCATGTTGGGAACCAACATCATACCAATTTCTGAAGCCTCCCGGTGGCCCTGGCTTTGCGGGAACGAGTGCGTTGGACCTTGGCCAGGTTGCAGTTGCCCAAAGGACCCAGAAATGAAAGATCAACCTTTTGGGATCTTGACTACGCATGGACTAAAACGCGAAAAACCAAAAGGCCAGAAGCTCGGTTCGCTTTGGAGAAGTGAGCCTTACGGAGCCATGCCCATGTCATGGAACCTCACGTCGAAGGGGCGCCTAGGATTTTGATATCCTCAAGAAGGGCCAACGTCATCCGCGAAACCAACGAGGCCATACCATAGACGCATCCCCTCTTGGCTTCCTTTTGGAAGCGTCCAATAAACGTTCGCCTTTTTGGCACGCAATTCTTATCATGCTACAGTGCAGGTGTGGACTGGCTCGCTCGCCCGCATCTCTAGCTAGCCAAAACGCTGCAGACTTCATTTGGGCCAATGGGTCCTAACCAATGAGTGCTAGCATGCTACACGCACACGTTTTCACCTAATGCCTGCAGCCCGATTGCTGAACCCAGGGCCTGCTCATTCATGGACTGCCTGGGGGCAGGCACAAATGGGCGAGGGGAGGGTTCGCGACTTGGATAGCAACGCGTGCCAATGGATCACCGAGCTTAACTCATGTGGAATTCGGACTCATGCTGGGGTGATTCTCCCAGAGGACGCCCCCTGGTTTACTTTTGCCTGTGCTCCATTCTGGCTCGCAAAGCGCGAGCCAACGGGCGTCACCCATAAACTCCGGTCGCCAAACTGCAAACAAGCGGCTTCATTAGGCTGCAAGAGCAACAACTGGCTCCCACTCAGACGCGGGTTCAGACTCGCGCGTCTTGCAGCCAAAGGCAGGTGGATGTCCCCAGATCCCGGCAACATGCAGCCTCCCTGACTCACTTGGTATTGATAGGGTGTGATCGCAACTGTTCGCTCCCCTTTGCCTAGATGCAGTGTCCCCCTGAAAGTCCACATGGCACCCCTCACCCTACAGTTTTGCTTTGTTGAGGTTGCGCTTAGATCTCAGGGTATAAGATAACTTCCTGATCGAAACTGGTTGAGCCTTCCCTCCATTCACTTGCTAGTGCCCATTGGTGGTTTTGCCCGAAGCGCCCATTGCCTACGGCCTTGCGCGCAACATAACCCCAGCATTTAAGGTGCTCTAAAGGAAAACCTCAGGAAAGCGACCCTCTCTGGAGGCAAACCCACTGACCCGTTGGTAAGTGCTGGCTATGCCCAATGGTTGCCGTTGCCCTAGGAAGATAACGGGACCCTTTTGCGCCAGCGGCTTGGAGGCAAAAGCGGATACACCTCAGCCCGGACGCACCAGGTATGTCGTTCAACCTCGCCACCAACCAAGAGCAAGTGCTCTTGAGCTTTTGGGATTTTGGATCATGCGTCGCTTCCCTTGGCCCAAAGCCAGCGGCGCCGAGCAATTGCGGAAACCATCCATGGCTCGAATGATTCGATTTGCACAGCTCCCCTCGTTTTTTGGCGCTTGGCGTGCGCGGGCTCATGTTTTGGCCAGCCTCATTGACTCATGGGAGGCACTCGGACTAAACAATCAGGTGCCCCATCTGGATGCTTCATAGAAAAGTCGGGAGCTCCTTGCACCGTGTGGGATCTCCGCGAACACTGCGGTCGGGTCGCATCTTTGGCCCGGCAAAGTCCATGTCGAAGATCTCAGGTCGTGTGGGACGCCTTCGCTTGCTTGCCGCTTGGGCTGAGCGGCACCAACCAGTCCCAGTACATTCAACGGTTGCGGGGTTCAACTGAGAACCGGCAGGTTCTCGGTCAGCTTGTCGGTTTCCAGCCGCCACGTAGCCAGCTTCCAACTCGCCGTAGACCTTTCTGCACATCAGTCACCTCAGCACTCGTTGTTTGGCATGCCCGAAACTGCTCCAAGCCATACCCCGCGGATGGTGAAGTGTTAGAAACACAACACATACGTCATGAGCTTGTTTGGGTCCAAATCTTTGTCTATGTCGCTTTTTCGGGCGACCCAAAACATCTTGTGGTCTTCCTTTTGCTTTCCTTTCAAACCAAAGCAAGTAAAGCACCAACTCCAAAAATGACACGCTCATTGGGTGAGGCCGCTGGCGATTTCCATGTACCGCATGATGCCTCCGATGGAGTAGCCCTGGTCCGCCGGGATCTCTGCCCCCGGCTCGGAGTCGGCCAAATCGCCCACCAGGCCCAGCACGCGCAGGAACTCCGCGAAGCCGAGGCCGTAGGAATTCCTGGGGCGGTCAAACGGTTGGCTTCGGGCAAGTGAGGACAATGGCGGGCCCTCTCAGAGGCGTTCAAGGGAAATCTTACGGTTCCCCCACAAAAAGCAAAAGGAAACCATTTTGGGGTCGTCCAGTTTGAGAAAAACACAGAAGAGCGGGTGCGCCTTGAGAGGTGTTCGCCGTAGTAATGAGTTTGGTGCGTGCCCCTATCTTGACACAAGCCCGCAGCCACCGTCTATTCCACTTGATAGATACATGTATATATATATACAAGTAATAGATACATTTATTCAGAAGATGCATATGTATAGATATATATATATAGATACTTGCAACCAAACCGGACCGGACAATCTAGAGTTCACTGGCTGGTGCAAAGGGAACCCCGGCTCATTCGCTCATTTGCCCTCGGATTGGCGAGATCCAGTAAGGGGTGCTCACTTGAACCTTTTGTAACCTGGACTAAATTAAATATGGACCAAATCAGGGAAACCAAAAGGCTAGAAGTTGGCTTTGGGCAGGTGCGGCTAACCGGTCCAAGGGGGCAACAAGTACTTCCCGCGCGACCTGCTCCTTGGGAACCAAAAGGTTCGGCTGAGATTCTCCACCACCAGGCGCCAGATCTTGGTCAGCCAGAGTTGACACACGATCTTGTCTTTGAAGACCTCAGTCAAGGCAATGCTTCTGGAACATGGGCCCCTTGCGCACTCCAAATGCATCACGTTGTGGGAAGGATGTGTGCTTAAGCTGCCTGCCACCAGCTAGGGCGGGCCAATTTCGTGGGGCTGCGATTCGTATCATGGCACCGATTTTGGGCTGAATGCTGAAGAACCCGTTCGGTTGCAAAAGGGTGTTTGAAGTTGGCGCCAATCTCAGCTACGCGGCGACAATACAAACTCTTCAATCTCTCCGAACCAAGCGCCGGTCCGAGCTGAATTCCCCAAACACCTGCCCGCGACAAACAAGAAATGGACATGTGGGTTTGCTTTTATTATTTTGATTGCCTTGGTCACATACTTATTCACGGTCTTCTGTGGTTGCCTGGCTTAAAACGTCGGGTGAACAGCCCGAGGAACAGCCCCAGTTGGGAGCGTCTTTTTCCAGGGCCACCGGTGGAAGGGCCGCCGCAGGCCAAGGGGCCGCCTCCTCGCCGATGAAGCCGCCGCGCTCCAGGAGCTTCAGCACTTGGCCCTGGCCCACCGCCTTTCGGGGAGCTTGGGATGGGCTCGAGCCGAAAAGGACCACCCCTTTGCCGAAGATCAAGCCGAGCGTGGTTCATTGATGTGGGGAACAGGCAAGCCTCACATGTAAAAAGTTGCGAGGCTACGCAGGCACGGACCAACCAAGAGACCAATCATGAAGCTTGTTGTGATTAAAAAAGACCATAAGACATGTAAACTGAGCAAAACATATGATACTATGGGTACGCCGAATGATCATAACATCCCCTTCTTGACAAAGGCATTGAGTATGCGGCCATGTGTTTTCTTGTTTTTTTCCCCACCAGCTGAAAGCTTTGGGGTCTCAGCCCAGATAGGCGCTGTCCCTGAGGTAAGGTTCCACCAGGGATTTTATCATGGTTCCACCAGCGTTCCACTAGGGTTCCGATTGGGTTCCACGAGGTTCTGCGAGGGCTGCGGGGTGCGAGCGCTAAAAAGAGCACCGCATGTTGATATCGCCTGAGCAGCTTCTTCTTTTGCTCGGGCCGGGGGGGGGGGGCCACAGCGGCCCCACGGCCCGCCTGGCTGGGCCCGCAGCTCCGCGCGAAGGCGCGGTACAGCGCCAGGTGCTGCGCCGCGAAGTCCGCCGGAGCGGCCGCGAGGTCCAGCGCCACCAGCCCGGGGCTGCGGGAGGGCGCGTCCTGCCGCACCTCGACGGGCGGCCGGGTTCAGCGGGAGGTTTGGTTTGAGAAACCCCCGGCAAAATTGCAGTACATGTTCGGTATGGTTTTGAAGACACAACTCGAGAAGCGCCGTCAGCATAGCTCGAGCCTGATGATTGAAAAGCACCTGGAAGAAAGGAAACGATCTTGCAGCCAATGCCAATTCGGGTTTGTCTGGCTATCCAAAGGGAAACCAAAGGGACAACCACCATCTTCGGTGAACCAACTTTCTGCCAGATCATCTTTTAGAGGCTCGGAGAAGCAAATTTTGAGAGGTGGTACATGAATCCAGACCGAACTCTGATGTCCACCGCAGGGTCCGTTTGGAATCATGAAATTGTCACACCCATATTCTCAGATGATGCTCCCAGCCGGACATCGATCGCGACATCCATCGCTCGCCTCCGTCTGCAGCTCCTCTGCGAGATCTGCTTTCGCCCAGGCGCCCTCGTCATCCAGCGGCACCGGGTCCGGGATGCTCGGCGTCTGGGCGGGAAATCTGGGTGTCTTTTGTTGAGACCCGCTTGGAGGTATGGATTTAAAGCAGGCTAAAGTGAATCAGCCACAAATTTCTTGGACGCCGCACCCTAGAAACACTCCAAATGGGCGCAGCGAAATCTTGGAGCTGTTGTGTGGGCCGCGCATCATGTTTAAAAATTTGTCACTCGGGCAAGGAACCAAGGGCCGGCTGACAGCAGGCCCTTTTGGGGAGTGAGTTGGGATCCATTCGCTTCGACGCAGGCCCGCAGTTTCGACCCTCTTGAAGACGAGACGGGGGCATGGAAGCTGGGCTCCTATCTCCAAGCCCCACCCTCAAACAAACACGAAAACAAATAAGGTGGTGTCAAAAGAGACCCAGCGCGTTCGTCCACAGAACTACTTCGCCCAACTCAGTGACCTACTGTTGGACCCCGATCGTAACACCCACTATCTTGGTCATGAGCTTGAAAGCGCTAAGGCCAACATACGCCCCGGTCAAGATTCATTGTGTACAGGGCGCTCCCAGCAAGCACACGCAAGTTGTTTCGATCTTGCCAGGCATCCAGGCCAACATAAAAATGTGTGGCCCCACCCCAACCTCGTCACGCCCAAAAATCAAACTTGTGGCTCCACCTCCTCCAGCCACTGCTTCCTCAAGCGCTGCACCTTGGACTGCAAGGCCGGCCGCGCCAGCAGAAGGGCCTGGCCATGTGCCGCATGGCATGTTCTTCTGTCGGGAAAGGAGAAGGGACGGCAAAAAAAGGGGGGTGGAACTATGAGAAACCATTGCTTCAGGGTACTTACGGGGGAATCGAATCATTCCAGGTTGCCTTAGGTGGTGCAGGATTTGGTCCAAGCACTGGATGTTTACAAGGAACCCATGCGGCCTCAGACCTAGGACCAACCGTGAAAAATGCGTTTGGAAGAGAGGAGCGGCTGAGTTAATGCTCCTGGTTACCCGCACATGAAGAACAATGACCTTGGCAAGCCAACAACGTGGGAACGAACAGTTGCCACTGGCTGGGCCTTCTCGAAAGCAGTCCCTGGCTGCCCCTAAAAACAAAAACGCCAACTCGCAAGTGGACCGATTCAGAAAAATCATGCCGGGAAATGCGGCAAAGTGCGTGGTGAAAGCCGGACAGGACCCCAACCTAAACTCCTTGAACGCACCCATTTTCCCGAAAAGGGATTCAAAGGGAAAGCATGTGCGGACTTCCTTCATTTCGGCGTGTCTTTTTGCGGGGACCCTCAAAGTGGTGGTCTTCCTTTTGATTCTCCGTTGAATCACCCTCAAAAGACGACACGCGCATTTAATCAAAGTTCTTCTTGGGGGTGCACCTTATCTGGGGCGACGGCCGAGTCAGACATCTGGCAAATGATGAAAAAGCGTTACAAACCATGGCGCACCCTTGCTGGATTGCTTTTTATCTAAGTCGAAACCAAGGGTGAACCCAGCTTGGGGGGTTCATCCATTTGAGACCAAACCCTCTCCGCGTTTTCTTGGGGCGCAAGGTCGACGTTGGAAGAGGGCCGCAAAAAAAAGAGAATCTCAGCCAAGCCAAGCGGGGGCTTCAACCACCTGGGCCACAAGCGAAAAAAAATTTCCGAAGCGCGGCGCCTGGGCCACCAGCTCTTTCTTGATGGCCACGTCCAGGGGGTTCTGCACCATCCTGACAACTCCAAGCGGCATCCCATGCACAGACTTGGGGCCCACTCCCCGGAGCCGAGCCCCAGCATTTGGGCCCCCCGGGGGCGCGTTTTTGGGGGACTTGTTGGACAAATCGGAGTTGACTTTGCTGGGAGGATGGAATCGGATTCCAAACCTTCAGCCTCGATTCGGCTTCTACCGCCGGCCCCCAGGCACGGCGTAGCTGCCACTCCCCCTACCACAGTCGGGAAATGACCAGCAGCCTGAGGGTGGCATTGCGCCCTGTATGGCAATGGATTGCAGGAGTTGTCCCACGACATTCTATACTCTCGTCAATCCTAGGCCCGAATCTTGGATTCGCATGATGGCGTATGCTTGCAAAAAGAACCGAAGCCAAATGCAAACACATTGGCTTCATCATCAAATGCAAGGTAGCCACGGGGCCACTGCGCGACCTCTTCATGTGGCATCACATCATGTCACCGTTCCAGGCTACCTCACCAGAAGGCATTGCGGCGCCCTCAGGAAACAGCGTAAACAACTTATTGATCCGTAGGTGTCCCCGCGGATGAGGCCAGCGTCTGATTCGGGCATTCGTTTTGGATACAGATCTTTGGTGGACATTCATCAATGGGCATGTATTCGAGTGAGCTTGTGGCTTGGATTGGTGTGATTTTGAATCTTGGTTCTCGTGGAGGGCAAATGGGAAGCCATCCTAAACCACCAATCAGAAAATAGCTGATCTGGCTGTGGGTCACACATAGGAACCCGAATTGGGACCCTGGTAGATGGAACCAAGGACTAAAACCTGCAGTCCGTATCCTGGTGGTTTCATGTTGACCCCATACCCTAAAATGTGCGGAAACATCCGCGCCTATGGCTATTGTCCCTTGCTACCCTTTATCTACCTGGGTTTTGATTGTGGTTCAGGTCGTTGCCCCCCCCACTCACCCCCCCCCCTCCCAAGGGCCGCATGCTCCGGCCGGGCGTCTTCCTGCGCTCCGGGCTGCTGGACAAACTCTTGGAGCTCGCCCCGCGGCTGGCGCAGCGGCGCTCGGGGGAGCTTCTGGGCGGCCTCTCCTTGTCGCGACCTGCAGGGTGTGTCACTTGGGGGTGGGGGGGTTCTCGGGGGGGGGGGAGGGGGCAGAGGACCTGGAAATGAAAGGTCAACTTTTTGGAACCTTAACAAAAATATGGACCAAATCAGGGAAACCAAAAGGTTGAAAGGTCGACTTGGGGCAAGTGAGGAAAAGGACATGTGTTTCTATTAATCGCCTTGTTTACAACCTGCTCCTGGAGAATCCCCTTGTGGCTTACGCACCGGAAAGCCAACCGCCAAGGATCACTCAAAGGATCCCAACTTCCCCATGCCCGAAATGTTGCAAGCGAATCATATGCAGCTACATAACCCTGGCATATAGCGGCTTCGAGGGTTTTGCTTGTTCACGCAGCTACATCTCTGGACGACCGTGCCTGTCCGCAATGGGCGGCTTCAAAGGGAAAACCTCAAGACTGCCCTTCAAAAGGTGCTTTTATTTGTCCATGGCATCCGCCTCCAAAAGCAAATATGAGGACATCCCAATACTCACCGCTCACTTTGCCAAAAGCAAAATGAAAGCCTCTTGCCTGTTGGCACTTTGACCGTAGGCCTGCACCTGCTGAAAGGAAAAACCAGAAGGTCAAAAGGTCTGATTCGGGCAAGTGAGTGGTTGCACTGGAAGACACGCCCATACGGGCGGTGTCACTGCTTTCCTTTGAAACAGCACCAAGAACGATGCCACACACGTTTGCCCAAACCCACCCGAAGCAATACATTGGCCAGTGGGAAAGGGAACGCCTAGTTGGCCAGGTTTTAAACGATCCCAGACCGTTGATTGTGTCAAGGCCCCTTTTGACGGGCCTGGCGTCGTGGTTCTGCCTTTCCCTTTCCGCAGCGTATCCTCAGCTGCCCAACGAACCCAACAACCACCATGTTAACCTTTTGGGGCCAGGACTAATAGTGGTTGCCAAAACGGGAAAACTAAAAGGTCAAAATAGTCAAAAGAACGATTTGGGGGTCTTTTTTTGGGTACCCCTTTCTCGGTTGGTTCAAAGCGAAAAGGAAAACCATCACTTTGGGGCTCCCCAAAAAAAGCACCCATGCGGGGCTGTCTCAAACAAAGGCCCTGAAAATTGTTGGTCCCTGCTGTTCCGGTCTTGAAACCATCCCAAAACCCCTCAAAAACAGACACACCCATTTGCCTTGGGCAAAGCATCTACGAAGGCCTCCACTTGGCTCAGCTCTTCTGCGCTCAGCCCCTCAAGCTTCCCCAACAACTTGGCCACCGGCGCCGTGGCCGGCGCTGACGCGGCCGGCGCTGCCATGGCCGGCGGCGCCGCCACGACCTCCAAGGTCGACTATGTGGTTTTGGTGTTGCTTTTCCTCCTTTTTGGCGGGGGTTTAGCGTCCATGATGGTTGGGGGGAGGAGGTTTCCTCCTTTGCATCTGTTTGTGGGTCCATTTTATTGGCCACTGATTTAGACAACCAGACCCTGGCCCTAAACAATGGGTATTTGGACAGGGCTTGGCCCAAACCAAGGCCAACCGCAAAGAAGCCGAACGGCTTCATCTCTGGAAAATACTTCTTCGACCTTCTTGGGATGAAAGAAAAATCCCTAGAAACGGTCAACCAACCATGCGCCCGGCGACCAGCGTCAAACTCCCGCCTCCGGCTCCTCCTCTCGCATACGCCTGACCGCCGAAGCGCCGCTACCGGCCGGCGTCTCCACCTCGTCCCTGTCCTTCTTTAGGGCGAACATGGCTGTGGAAATCACCCGCTCTGCAACAGAAGTCATTCCCCATGAGGGGTCGTCAAAATGATAACTCGTCTTGCCCTTGGCCCTAGAATCACCTAGCTGCACTGCAGAAACCATCTCATTGCTTCTGCTAGCCCCCCCCCCCACCCCCTCCCCCCCACCCCACCAAAAACCACACACACACACAAACCAACGGCTTCAGATCTGACACGTCGACTTCACCCAGCAAAATCCCAGGCCACGTCCTGTCGCGCCCGTTTCTTTCGGCGAAAAACGCGATTCGTTGCCGGCGAGGCGTATGCGATGGTCCCTATGTTTGACTTGTTGCCGCCATGGTCTCTGCCAAACGTGATTGAAATCAGAGCGCGTGAGCCGAGCCCAGCGCCACAAAAATAGGCACAGCAGCACGCAGCGCTTCTCTCGGAGCCAGACATAGCGAGAAAGGGATTGGCTCCCTCCGAGGGAGGGCGCCCACCCCCAAAAGCGACTTGCTTCCTCTGTGTGTGTTCCATGCCGGGCACCGGCACTCCTTCGGGTCGGCGGGCTGCAGCACGGACAGGGAGGGGTTGGCATTCAGCTCCAGCAGATGCGGCGCCAAGGAGCTGTCCAACAAGATGTCCAGCCCAAGGATCTGCACGCCCTGCGCTTCGTAGCGGAAACGTTGATGTCAGTTGCAAGCGGTGACCCGGGTAGAGACAGAATTGCAGCCCTGTTTGGGCTTTCCGGTTTCTAGTAAATCAAACAAACTCAAAGGGGGAAAGAAAATGCCACTTGATAACTGACTGTCTTTTCTTGAAGGTGCTTGTCTTGGGGCTGCTTGCCTTGGAAGCGAAATAGGCACAAACGGCTCACGAAGACCAACATGAACATGACCCCAACCAACAACGCTGACCCTTGACCCAATACCCTCGGAAAAAACGCCTGGCCGCTTGTCAGGGCACAAGAAGCGAGTCAATGTTCCAGCACTTGCCCCCTGCTTGCAACTCATCCCACGCTTGGAAACCACCGTTGCGCTGTGGGCGTCCGTTCTGTGGCCACTCTCGTGGAAACAACCAATGACACATTTGCAAACCCAACGGCTTCCTGGGAAAATGAACAACCCGTTGACCAGCGGCAAGCCGGTTGCATCCGTTCGCGAATGAGATTGAAGCGGGGCCTTGGGCGCCCACGGGTGCAGTGGCTTGGCCCTCTGCACGTAGTACTCGAGCCTCAGGATGTCGCACGCCGGAGTCCCCTTAAAAATGGTTCACTCGCTTGCCCCTTAGGGACCTGGAAATAGAAGGTCACCTTTTGCACTAAAAATGGTTGCCAAGGGAGAAAAAAAAACAGAAGGGTCAGATCCGGTCGATTCGCTGTGGTCAACAATGCCAATGAGGCACGAAAGTTCTGAAATGCTTAAAAGGGCGGGCATTGGATGTGCAGCTGCCAAATTCACATGCAGGCGCTGCGGAGCTCTTGCTTGGGCAAAGCATGAAAGGGATCATACCAGGCGTTCATTGGACGTATACTCTGGGCCCAAGTGGGGCTTCTGCCGCAGACTCGTGCCAGGGATCCTCCGAACTGCTAGCGGTACCTCAAAAACACGCATCCACATGGGCTATGATACGTTGGGGCCGCTCGCCTTTCCGTTTTCGGTGGGCTTTAAGGATGTCCCCCCGGTGTTTTGCCGGCTGTCGCAAGTGTAGAGAACCTTCCACTCTTCAAAGGGCACCACTCGGATGCCGAATGGCTTAGGAACTCCCTTCGGGCGCCAAAGGTGCCATTCAAGTTCAAGTTGAAGTGCCTGATCCGAATCACAATTTGAAAGCCCTAAGTCAAAACGTACCGACGCAGCATCAGCGCCCCGTTTCATGGCCGCAGAATAGCTTGCTGCGTTGTCCAATCGATTTCGAGTTCGACATTCAAGTATGCCGGTTGGTTTTCCCTGTCACTTCCCTTGGGGAAAAAACTGCAAACACACCCAACATGGAGGTACCTTCCTTCAAAGGAAGCGCACACCCAGAAGAGCTGAACACACAATCATCCCTTGGCTTCCCAAAGTGAAGGTGAATTGTGTGACATGGACATTTAGAAGCTATGTCGCCCAAACCCTTAAGCCCTAAACCCAAAGAAGGTGGCTTTAGCAAACAGGCCCTAAGCCCTAGCGTCCTGACTCGGTTCCCCAAGGGGGTTCCGAAAATTACGCCGTTGGTTTTCTGGTGGCTCCCACAGAAGGTACTTGCCCACTTGTTTTTCGGGGGGAAGGACCATTCAAAAGAAAACCAGCCCAAAACCAACCCAAATGTCGGATGCTTCTTCTCAAAGGAACCCTCCTATTTGTGTGATTTGTAGGGGGAAAAGCCCAAGAAAACCGCTTTAAGTTCGGGCTGGTGGTCCCCAATCATTCAGCCAACCCCCATGCAACTCTCAAGGCCCCCTCCCCCCCAAAAAAAAAGAGATGCGGGGCCCACCCAACTGTTGGACAAACGAACAAGCGGGGATACGGAGGGAGCTGGGATATGGGGGGATTCCCGTGACGCCATTTCCCGCATCAAACTTCGCCAAGGTGCATGTAATCCTCCCGGATCCCTGGTTCCCCCTGTATCCCTGCCAGTTGGCTTCCCTGAAATAAACTGGGAACGGGTCCAAATTCAGCAACGACCGCAGGTAAAGGTTCCATTTCCCAGACCACGCCATTTTGGGGTGACCCGATTTTTGACCCACCGCCACTTGGCCCCACCCGCTTCCCCTAACAACAGGGCCGCCAGAGCGAGCGGCAAGCTGGGCCGCAGCGCCGCCAAGGTCTTCGCGGCCAGCTGGGCCACGTCCGCCCAGAGCTGCTCCGCGCCTTTGGCCCCGGAGGCCTCGATCTGCCAGAAGACCGAGGACACCGAGCGCTTGGAGCCCTCCTGCTGGCGTTGTTGTTTGTTTTGTTTTGTTTTTTGGCTTTTTGTTGTGTTTTTTTTTTTGTGGTTTTTGTTGGTTGTGTTTTTTGGTTTTTTGTTGCTTTTCACAAAAAGGGGCGCCGTAGAAAAAAGAAACGCCCAAATGGAGATGTTTTTTAGTGGGGGACCCCTCTGGTGGACATCATTTAGGTGGGGACTCATGTCCGCGAACCACGTTCGAGGTGCCGCTTACAACTCAGGCCTTAAGCAAGACCAAACAATACCACAGTATATTGCAACGCCCCCTTCGCATCCATTGGGATTGGTGGTTTATCCCACGCGATTGTTGTCCATCCACCGTGGATGGGTTCACACACGACGACCTGCTTGAGAAATTTGGACCATCAAGGTTGACTGGCCTTGTGGGTGGCGGGCGTGGGAAAACTGACAAAACATGGGCTCAGTTTCGGAGCCTGCATCACCAATTTACTGCAAGTACAACTGGGAGGAAGGGGCAACGACTTGAGCTAAAGGGTTGACCACGTTGGAGATAACTTCAGGGCAGGGATGCAAGAACCCTGGCGTCTCTCCGCACTCACTGGATCTGCGATCTTTCTAAAGATCCCAAAATCGGTAAACATACACATCCTGCATCCTCACGAGGTCGGCTTTGGGGCCGGAGAATTGGTTGACGTGGCCAGGGCACGCATCTCACAAAAACAAGGAACTTGCGATGATGCACATGTAACAGGCTGCATGCAAAGGGCCAATGAAGGCTGTCGCGGGCTATGAAGGCCACCCTTCCCAACACAAAGGGGGCCAAACCACGCCAACGTCACTCCAAGGGTTGTCTTTGAAGCGCCACATGTGCAACTCACTTGTCCGAAGGCCTCACCAGTACAATTTCTAAATCTGAGAACGCCAAGTGCCAATCGTAACCTCATGGCACACTGAAACTTGCCCATGGTCAGCCGAACCGATCATTGAGCTTGAAGAATCCGTGACGACAAGTTTGGCCGAATCTTGGAGGAAGCCTACAGGGAGGGGCATTTGGTTGTGGGCATCAAGACATGAAAAAAATGCAAAAGCGCAAGGATTGCCAAGCCCAATAGAAACTGATATGCTGGCTATCTCTGCTGTGTGGAGAAGGGGTCGAGCTGTCCCTGATTTCTCCGCGGACGTGATTCTTCCAAACGAAACAAAGACTAGCCTCGTAATTAGCAAAGTAACCTCTTGTCAGCATACTAGGGCGTGGCACCAACCCCCCGAAATGTATTATCACTCCAATTTTGCCACGCTGACACTCCGACACCCTCTTTTCCTCTTCTCTCCTGGGTGTCGCTAGTGGCTTGGAAATCTTTGCTCTGCTTGTTCACCGCGAAGTTTGTCAAGTGCCTGAGGCTCTTCGGCTCTCTTCGGCTCAGGGCCAAACCCCGGCCTTGAGCTCAACAAGTCACCGGCCACAAAATTCGACCAAGCTGACTGGCATGAAGGCCATGTGGCCCAGATATGTGATATGTGCTCATGGTTCTAGGGGGCAAGGGATCACGGCGATACACCACACCCAAGCAAAGAGCATCAAGGTGCCACCAATCGGAAACAAAGGAGGGCACCGAGCATAACGCAGTGGCGAGCTTTCAGTGCATGCACAGGGGGTGTGCAGCCAGGGATGCGTGCAATTCTAAGTCTAGATGTCCAAAACCTGAAGCAAAATATCAACAAGGTCCGGACCTTCATGGTGGGCCCGTTTTGCCAGGTGAGCCCGCCGGCAGGCGAGAGGAGAAGGAGGAGAACCAGCGGGAAGACACACATTTCCCCAAAGGTCAAAGATGTAAAAACGGCCGTCCAGCATTGAGCCACTCACAGACCCCCAAAGGATTTGTGATTGTTTGTTGATTATGGCTTGTGTTCGGCCAAGTCAGTAAGTTGTTGGCAACCTAAGTGCTAACCCACTTATAAGCTCCCTAAGTGGAGTGGGTAACCACTTACTAACTTGGCCACAAACGTGCAAGTAAAGCAAGTGGCCCACCTAACTTCCCCATGTCTTGAAAACGACTGGCCATTTCAGGACTCATCTTAGGGCCGTATCTGGCGTAACTTCTGCATGTTTGCCCCCGTTGAATTTCCGGGGTCCGTACGACCCACCCCCCTTGCCCCCCAAACGGCCAAGGCGCATGCAGGCCTCTTTGAGGTTGGACTCTTTGGGGGCTTGGTAGGGCACCGTGCAGAACCGCGCCAGGCCCTCCTATCAACCCATGGCAACCCACAAACCTTGTGCATTTACGTGTAGCTACATCGTGTACATATATGTATATGTACACGATGTAAATATATTTATATATAGAGAGATAGACATAGGTGTGACATGTATATGATATGTCTATAAATCTAGATGTGTGTGTGCGTGCGCATGTAGGGCGGAACCTGTCCTTCCCAACAGGTGTCAAACCACCTGCGTCGATGACCTTTGAGACTTGGAATCACCTAAGCGGTTCGTGGACAACCCCCACCGAACGTCCAACACGTTCCCAATTAAAGCTCATGCCCTCGCCGGAAAACATAGGACATGGGCGTTTAAAAAAATGATTGGTTTTTGAACGGGGGCCATAAGTAAACCAATTTTGGGGTACCGATGCCTATGTTGAGAAATCCCAAATCATGTTTCTGTAGGTGCCAAAGTTGGCCGTCCGCGTAACTGCTTGATCTCATTGATCAGGGGATTGCCTTGGCTTGCCTGCATCTGGGGGTACACAGAAAATCATTTTCTCATTCCTTCCTATTTGCCCAGTTGGGAATGTTGACCCCATATTAATCAACCCCTGTTTGTTAATAGGGGGTGTTGCTGGCACTTTGGGAGGGGCCAAAAACCACCGCTCCGTATGTATGAACTGGTTGGTTGATCAATTTGGGGTCAACCATATCACAGAGAGCGGCAACCGAAATTCCGAAGTCAACCCCGGTCCTTGAACAAATACCCCCGCAGCGGCACGATGGAGGTCACCACCACGTAGATCCTAAGCGGACAAATTGGCGCGAAGTTGGCTTTGGATCTGTGGATCCACCCCGGATATGTCAACAGGCGCTGGAAACTGGGAGAAACACATTGCGTCACATGCGGCATCCACGCACAGTGCGTCCAAACCGTTCTCTACATAGCAATTCTCGATGCACGGGCATGTCGAGGCGCTAATTCGCGTGCATCTTCAAATGCATCGGTGAGAACAAACGGATGCCAAAAGGGCCGACATATGCGTCCCACAACCCAGGCCTTTTGCAGGATTGTGTTTGGAGCCCCCCAGCTAACAAAACTGCGGGATTCCCATCCATCTGGACCAACCAATTCTTCACTTCCTGAGTGGACTGGCCCCAAAAAAGTCAAACATGTTTGTTTGCCACTAACTAAAAGTATTTCATGCTAACTAAATTTGTTTGCCACTAACTAGCTAAATTTGGTCTCCCAAAAAGTTTCGTTACGCACAAGGCTCCGCATGTCAAACTTCAGGCCGTCCAGCAGCAGGGGCGAGCTGACGTATCTCTGCACCACGTACTCCGGGGAGAAGCAGGTCTCACTAAAGGGCTTCGACTTCTGCACCACCTGTGGGATAGTGGGCGTGGCAAACCCTAACAAATGATCCATCCCACGGTTCCTGTGAGAAAGCAACGCATGGGCTGTTTGGCACCCAGCACAAGTAGATGAACCTGTGCAAGACTCAGGAGTCAGCTCAAGGCAACACTTGCCGAACAAAAAGCGGAAGCATCACATGATTTGTTGTTTGCGAGTTCAGGGCCCAAGGCTGCTGAAGGGTCCACTCAATCTCATCTGCCGCATCCTTCAGAGCAATAGGGGAATCATGTTGCAACCTGAGAAAGAAACACTCACATCATGGAGCAGAGGACAAACACCCAACAGAAATCGAATTCAAAACATAACGTTCCCGGAAAGGAAAAACAAACAAGCACAACATGCAAAAAGAACAAACCAACACAGCCCACAGACAACAAGAAAGGCGGCAAGGACCGGAACGTCCCCGGTGAGACATTGCGCCTCCGTCAAGTCAGACCACTTCTTGGCCAGGACGATGCCTTTGCCCTGGGTGCCTGCAGGGCTCCACTCTAAGATGGAACTCGCCATGTCCCAACACGAAGGATCTCCTTTCAAGAACTTCCCTTTTCCAAAGGAAACAAATTTGAAGCCAGGGGCGATAGGGCACCAACGTAGCATGGCTCCCTGTATGGGTCTGTTCGGGGAACCCGAGAACGAATTTTGGTTTCCGTTGCCTTCCTTCGCGACTGAAAGGGAGTTCCACAAACAAAGGCTCACACATTTCTTCCCCTGTTGCATCCTTTAGATTATTGCTTGGGGAAGGCGGGAACACGCTTGAAGAAACTTGGTGTTGGTTGCATGAGTCAAGTTCGAACCATGCTCCAAGATTCAACGCTCTGCATCCGCCGGCAAAGAAGTTGACTGGTGTTTCAGGTGGGTGTGTCTCAGATTTCAGGGGCCTCTCCAGCTGCAGGTTTGTTTTGGTTCCCCTTTCCACCGAAAACATGGCGTCTCTGCTATGAAAGAGACCTAGATTGGCATGGACCTGACAAAACACTGCACGCAGGAATCTGTTTTGCAGGACCCTTTGCAGGTTCGATGCTAACGTGGTCCTCTTCACGTCAAAATGTGCATTGGCGTACCCAACGGGCTTTTTGCAAACCAAGCAATGCTCAGGTGCCTAGCGGGCCTATTGACAGACGTCAAGATGAAGCAGGCGGTAGGGTCGCTGCACGGCGCGCATGACCGGCCAAAACCGTGCATTTGCGTTAGTGGACAAAGTTTGTATTTTCCGGGCTTTGTGATGAGCAAAATCCACCCACCCGCCCACCCCCGTAAAACCCCTCCGCACGATAACTCTAACGTAGCTCTGCGACAACGCACGCGCAACAACAAACTGAGACTTTGGCACACCAACTCACTTCCTGACTGGATTGGCCAGAAAACGTTAAGCAGTTCGTTTATCACTATTATCTTTCCAGAAAGTTCAAAGTCCAGGAACTCAGGGAGCGAGACTGCACGCTCAGTTGTCTGGATCGTTTATGCAAAACAAAGAACAAGTGGAGAGAGCGAGAGACATAGAGGCCTCTGCATATGATATGCAAACACACATGCACAAAAAGTTGTTTTGATGTGCGCATGGCCTACTCAACATTAAACAGGACAACAGCTCGCTTGGCTTTGGGGCCAGAGACGAGAAAGCTCGGCGCGTTAGAAACGTGCCTGTGCTGGGTTTGGCGATGTAGGTGGATCGACTTTGGCCCATTTCCAGTTCCAAGTCCGCAGCGTCCATCGGCAACACCCAGGTCGGGGGGACGAAGGCAAAGGCATCCTCGGAAGTGAAGGTGGTTGGGCGGGTGGCGGTTGATGTTGTCTGCTCCAGGGGTCTACAGGTCGCAAAGGCGCGATTTTTTAAGGGCCGGTTCGGAGGTAAGCGAACTTTTTCCGAAAGAGGCCGCGAAAGGAAAGCCCTGATGAATACAATAGGCCGGACCCGGAACGCATTTTCCACATCACTCCGCCCAAAGGAAAGTCAACTGAACGATGAGGCCCGCTGTCACCTGGAACCAAACAAGTGGGGACTCTAGGTGGCCCTTGCAAATTATCAACGCCCAGCTAAAACTCGCCGTCGATTTTCAACCAGTTGGCCTGCCATCTCCTGTCTCACCCCTGAGAAGGGCTTTGGTGGCACTCAAGCTCCAGCACTATTGTTAGGGCTAGTTTACATGTTTTAGGCACCCCTTACTTTGAAACATGTCCATTTAGACCGTAGGGCGCCAAGTATCCGGGAGCTCCTTCTGCCAGGCCCGCATGCAGCGTGCAAAGGGCGCCTTGCGGCACCTTACTCGTCAAGTTGATCTTCCGGCAGGCGTAGGACTGGTGAGTCCCCCCCTCCGGGTTTTCTGCTTGGTTTCGAAAAAGAGGCCTTTGCCCACCCAGCACCCTTAAAGACCGACCCCCCCCCCCCCCCCCGCCAAACCGCACCAAAGACAACTGGTGCGCCACTGTGCGACTGGGGTGCATGTGCAGAAAGGCGTCCAGGCGGGTGACGGTCTGCACTGGGGCAAGGCCTTCAGAGGGATCCCCGTGCTCCAGCCAAACCACAGAGGCGTCCTTGGCCTCAAATGTGAGCTCCTTCCCGGCCCGAACGGCGCATGGCTCGGCAAAAGGGGGTGTGATTTTCCTTTAGCTGCCCTTTCAACCATCCAAACAAAACGGAGAGCACCGTCAAAAAAACACCCACGTATAAATTCAATATAGAAATATTATATAATATGTAGATACGTGTATATATATATATATATATAAACCACCGTTGTCATTCAATCTCCTTGACACGGTTCAAGGTTTTTGTCCCCACCTTCCACCCGAGCTGGCCAATCGCCACCTGCACGATGGTGCCGGAGCTGCGGCAGCGAGCAGTGCAAATGGTCACCGGGTCCCGGCCGTGCTTTTTCATCTTCTTGGCGGGCGGCAAATTCAGGGGCGGCTTCACGCCAACGGTCAGGGGCAATGGGTCATGCTTCAAGTGCTCCTCCACTGCGCCAACGGGCACCGTGTCCATAGCCTGCTCGTTCACCGACAAGATCATGGTTCCTGGCGGGTATGCATCTGTGGCAGCGGGAAGTGTCTACGACCTCCGTTGCTTGAATTTGGACACAAAAGCATAGGGGAATGCAACATTTGCAAAGCCGGAAGGCGATTTATACTTATAGTTCCATCTTGCTACCCTCCCCTGCGCCGAGTGTGGAGCTTGCGTGTCTGTGTTTTCACATATATGCGATAATGATTGTTTTCCCCGTTGTTGTTCCTCGGTTGTTTCTTGCTTTTGTGCTTCGTTGATTTTCCTTGCGTGCTTTTCATGTGTTGCAGAAATTTGGATTAATACGGTTGGACCCTCACAAGTCGAAGTGAACCATTGCCACCTCAGAAGGAGCTACAATGAGCTACATTTCCCCAACATGAAGCCTGAGGGTGCCTTCCCCCTTCTAAATGTCCTTTTTGCTTGTTGACCCCAGACCCCTGGGTTCTTCCCAGCTCCCCGGCCTGGGCACAAGCCCGCCTCCGCCGCCGGCCCCTTGCAGCTCCTCACCACCGCCCCAAGGCCCTCGGGCGTGGCGGGGCACAGTGCCAGGTCCGGGCGCTCGGCCAACTCCACGAGGCTCGCGAGATCGGCCTCAGCCCGAGCGGAGCTCGCGAAGGAAATGGGAGGGACGGGGGGAGGAGGGGGTGGCTGTCAAACGAATGATTTGTGTGTGTGTGTGTGTTTTTTCTTGTTGTTTTGGCAACCTAGACGTGCAGATTCTCAAGTGCGTTTGGGTGCGTTGGAATCGAACTGAGATGCACTGGTTCTCATTGGTTTGCTTGGCATCTCAACCCACGGGGTGGTGTCTCAAAGCCACAGTCCTACAACAGCACGTGTGTGGCAGTATATTTGCGCTGAGAACTTGGCTGAATTATATTGGCTTGGGGCTGCGGGAAGGAAATGACGAACCAACAGGATATCATTTTTCTCCCACACAAATGTTTTCCACAAAAGAACAGGGGGACCCGATTTGCACATCTTTGCAAACAAGTTTGGGCCGTGAAGGTGCAACCTGGGGAAAAAATCATGAAGCCCTCCATGGCAAACAAGGCCTCAATCATGAAGTACAAAAAACTTCCCAGCAAACACAGACAAACCTAGAGGCATCCCCTAAGAATCTTTTCTGGGGTGAGAAACAAAGCAGGCTTCCCCAACAAGTGCAATGTCCGAGTGGCCGCGGCCTCGGTATCGGAGCCTTCCTCCACACCCTCCTCAAACAAGTCGACGGTCGGCAGCAAGCGCGCTGCACCCCATGCGTCTTGCAAAGGCTTGGCCGACGCCATGTCGGGTGTACGGATGGCGAGACCGCCTCAGCACTCCAAGCGGGTTCGGGCTCTAAGCGGCCCGAGTGAGTACATTTGTCCAGCAAAAGTCAAGCAAATAACGCTGTTTGCTTGACCGTCGCTAACTAGACAAGCCTGCCTGCCGCTCTGAGCCAAATCGCTGACCCCAAATGTAAGCAAACTTCAGTGATAGAGCACCCGAGACAGCAAGCGGGAAGCACGCCAAGGCTGGGAAGAGGCACATCCCCGGCGCCGAGGACGTCACCAAGGTCCGGCCCCACATCCGCAGCAGGCTGCACAGGCGAGAGCCAGGCGCCGCCCAACAAGGTGGACACCACAGCACGCTGAAGTCCACGGACGACTAAGCACTGCGGGCCTGGACCCGCAAGCTCAGGGTAGCGCGCCTGCTTGCGCCGGCGCACTACCTCGAGCACGGCATCATCGTGCTGTGGCGCCATACAGGACGAAGTCCAGACGCCGGCGATCATCCAGGCGCGCTTGTGTGCGCCAGCCACTGCTGCGGCACGACAAGGTGGGCAAGAAGACCGCTGCAAGGACATCCACACAACCTGTGGTGCCGGCGTCAGCCGGGATGGCGGTGAGCCAAGCCTGGCCTGAGGCTGACTGGGACCGAAAGCACGCCCGGTCGGACGGCGATAGGGTGGCGCTCGCGAATGTAGGTGTGAAGAACTCGAGACGCGCGCAGCTTGCCAACCATGTGGCCAGTCACCAGGGTCGCTTTCGAGCCGGCGGCGCAGCACGTGCCAGGACTTCCTGCCAAGAGGGGCAATCGCCCCAGCGTGGCGGAGCAAAGCCGCTTCGCGGAAGCAAGGCGCGGCAGCCTCATCCAGCCGTCCAACAGGGCGCGGCCGCACTTTTTAGCGGACACAATGTGGGTGGCGCTGCGTGTCGCAAAGGGCCGCATGCTTTCCGAGCGCGTGCAAGGCCGACATCACCGGGTCCCCTTGCTCGCCGCCTTCTGCACCTCATGCGCGGCCCCAAGATGTAGAGGCTAGCCGACCGATAAGACTACCGACGAAACAGGAGCAGGCGCGCCGTTGGGGGAGGGGATTTTTCTTGGACGTGAGAGAGGACCTTGTGTTTTCTTGAGGAAATGTGGAGGGCTGGGCCTCCTGCAAGGTAGCTCACGCCAGTTGGGGGGCAGTCCTCCAGGCTGGGCTGTGGCAGCAGCGCGAAAACATGGCAGGTGTGGAACTGAAGCCTCGAGGTCGCCTGCGCCGCAGGCGGCAAGCGCTGACCGAGGACAGGCAACCAATCCGCCCAAGATGCCAGTACGCAGAGACAGAAGTCCGAGCAGCAGACATCAAGCCAAAGCCACCTAGCGACACGGTCGGGAAGACCGCGGGGCTCTCGGAACCTGAATTCCCAAACCGTATTTCTATCTGAGACAACGGTGGAACGAAGATACGACAATGTGTGATGACGCTTGTGTTGTGGAACGTTCGGACGCCGCAAAGCGGTCGCTCAAGATTCCAGCTGGGGCTGCCAATGTTTTTGTTGGCGCTGAAGTTGCGTTCTGTTGCCGTTTGCACGCCCTCCCCGACACCCGTAAGTACTTGAAATGCCTGAAATCGGTGCGATGCTCAAGCTGGGTTACGTTCAATCTGGACAGTTTTTTTTCGAGCTGGAATTCAAAAAAACACTTGGCGCTGCACCTCTGGGTCAAGGTTAACGTGTCTTGAAGCGAATCTTCAGGGGACAGGAGCCAGGAGCAAGGACACACCGTGGACTTTTGAGGACGCTCGAGAGTGTCTCACGTTTCTCCTGCGTACGCAGGAGTCCCTTGTCAACCCGGGACGTTGGACGTCCAAGTCTGGTGCGGCATCGTGTTCCGAACTGTGCCTGGCAAATCCCATTGACGTGGTGCAACGAAAGGGTGCTAGGCTGATGCCTGGGCGTTTCGTTGAACATTTCCTCTGGGTGCCGCGCACATTCCTAGTCAGCGGGCCGCGCCACGATGGAGGAAGCTGTTTTTTTCCGCGCCTTGTTCCGCCTCGCTAACCGGTCCTTGGAAAAAACGCTTCAAGGGGTTTTTGCAGAGGCCGGCTCCTCACATGCGGGAGGGCGCCTTTCACCGGATGCGGCTGCATCCGGCAGCAATCGAGAGCGGCGGCCCGTCGACCCCTGCGGTCGAAGGACCGGGAGAGGCGCACTATGCTCGGCTTGCGCTGGCTGCCCAGAAGGACGACCATCGCCGAGCAAATGCGGCCGAGACAGCGCCACGCATTCGAAGCGGTAGCTCCACTGCGGCTGTGAGTTCCGCACCCGGGTTTTGATTAGGGACATGCGGGCACGTTCATACAAGCACCGGGAAGCGGCCTGAAACAACGTGAAGGGCGACAAACGCTTGATGCATGGCTAGTGTAAACAATGCTGGCATCAGCGGGTCGCCTTCCTCCCCACTTTTCGCTTGCAACACACGATGGGGCTGGCCTTCACTGTCGTGCCACACATAAGATGACGGGGCCCCATACCACATGCGGACGTAAGGAAGCAGCCGACACGCACCCCGCACGTCACGGAGTAGGCCCCTACGCCATCAGTAGGCGTGAAAAGGCCTCGGTACGGACGGTTTTTGGACAGCAACAAGCCGCACGATCCCAAGCCAACAGCCAACTGTGTGTGGAAGGAACATTCGGGTCGTCATCCAGCACTACTTTGAAATTTTATCCTGTCAACTTGCTCACGCAGGAGTGCGGCGGGGCTGTCCGTGTTCCCAGACAACAGATGGGGTGGCATGGGGGGTGGCTGGCGCTGACCGCTGCGTGAACTACTGCCACAGGGCTGGTGCTGGCCCGCGTCTTGGACGGCCCCAGCGCCGGTAGTTGTTGAGAGGGATTTCGGTGGCCACCTGCATCTTGTTTGTTGGCTGCGCTGGCTGGAGCGTGGCGGGGCCTTCGGTCCTGGTCTGCGGGTGCGGCCCCACGCTCACCTAAGAATAGCAGGAGCAACACTTCCAGCGCAACGGCAGGGATGTATCCATCGACGGCCGAAGGCAGGACCACTGACGCCTGTGCAGGGAGTGTTGCGGAGGCTGCTTGTAACACAGAGGAAGGCAATCTCAAAAGCGGATAGCTGATAGGCTTGGTTGGGCCCACCCACTGGGTCGGTGAGCTGCTGCAAAGAGGCGGCATGACCTGGCGCTCAGACAGGGGAGCTTGCCGAGCCGATGGACGTGCTGCCCGGACAGCGCGCTGGGCTGCCACGGCTGCTCTTGTTTCGCACCAGTGCCCAAGCGGGACTCTTTGACTCGCTTTGATGCGTTTTTCCGCGATGAATGGCAGCAGCTAGTGAAAGTTTTTTGATTTTTTTTTTGGTCGCACGCCGTTTTCCGTCCAGCGGCAGTGAGACCCAGGGAACCCTCAACCCCACCCACCCGAAACGGCCGCCGAGAAAGGTGAACGAAGCGCGCGCGCGCCGATGTGGCGACTAGCCGCGCAAGAGAGTTTCCGGAACCCTCCCGGATGAGAACCAGACAGGTCCCGCTGAGGCACCGCCGCGCTCTCGAGATCCGGTTGTGCCAGAAGATGACGCAGCCAGGATAGAAAGTTTCCACGCCCGCTTGCTCCCAACTAGTCAAGCCAAGGGCAAAGCAGGGCCCTTAAGGAAGTGCGGGGGGGACGGAATGGAGCGGCATGTGGCTGAACACCGTCTCAACATCCACATCAATTGCCGGGAAGGCTGCTCTCAAGCGCGTGCTGAGTTCTGGCCTCCGATGGCCGGTTGTCGCCCCGGCGGCGGCGAGAGTGCTGGATTGGCGACGTGGTCCCGAGTCCCCACGATCTATGCTTTGAGGAGCCGGCACCTCACCACCTGCAACTGGGGCAGGGTCACGGTTATGATTGATCAGGAGTGCTGGTTGGCTGGGTTGGCCAGGGGCGCTGGCGACTCGCTGCTCCAAAGCAGATTGGTCTGAAGCTCGTTCAGCGGCAACGGCGGCTTGCGTGGACGGCGGCTGCGCATTGGAGGTTGCGAGTTTGCGACGCTTCCCTGCGCAAGTTCCCCACTGCAGCTTGGAGCTGATGGACAAACAACCAGCTGTTCGCACCAACTTGCCTGTGTGCACTGGAGGCTGGGGGCCAACATGACAACCACGGAGAAGAAGACACAAAAAATATAGATGGTTGTTGCCGCGCTTGGTGCTCATGCGGGCGCGGATGCACAGGTAGCTGCTCCGGGGAGGTCAGTGGTCATGGCTGCAGCAACTGCTCTGAAGTGGGAAGAGAAACTGGACCCCCGGGCCAGCAAAATTGTTGGCCCTCGCAACAAACCCAACCGCGCTGTTCATGAACTACATCCAAGGCTAGCGTACGAGGTCCATGTGCCGCATAACATGGTGCTTGACGCAACATCGGGTGTTTATTTGTGAAACACGCACCACACCGCAAACAAGTCCATTCGTCAAACACGAAGGATCCATGCATCAACCACCCAGGCATACCCAGGCAACTATTCCACATGGAGCCGACGGAACGGACGGAATAGGCATGGAGTGTCATTAAAAAAACACGGAGGCCTCAGGCATCGCCACCGAAGGACAAGAGATGCGTGGCTGATTAACTCGCATATGCGCAACACAACCAAGATGTAAGGAATGCCCGCAAGGTGGCCACACAAACACGGTTTCCAGTCCACTCGCTGCCGGGTTGACGCTGCAGGGCAAGCATCTTCGCCATCGAATGCTTGAGGAGGGGCGTCAGACGTGCGCAAAGGCTACTCTAGCGTGACGGGAGCTGCCTCCCCCACCGTCGGGCTGCCTACGGCCCCACCATGGGGGTGTCATGGCCAGAAACTGGGTAGGACGCCACTGAACGCATGGCTGGTGAGTATGGCTTGCAGTGGTGCCGGTCCTCTGCGGCAACGGGCCGTTGGTGACGAGATGATGGGGAGGCGATTCACCGTTCATGACGAGGTCGGCGTCGGTCCCCCCGAGGCGGTTGACCGTTGATGATGGGTCGGTCCCTCCGTTTTTGTTCTTATTTGCTTTGCTTTTTCCCCGTCTTGCTCAGGTGCTGTTTTTCCATTGGGCAGCATCCAGGGGCGGAATATTTATACTAGGCCCGTCAACCAGCTATGCGCCGGTATACAAAAGGTTATGGGGCCGCCGGTATACAAGTGG